ATGAGGGGAGACAAGCTTGGGAGACAAGGCGGCAGCGGCAGAACCGTAAAAACATCTATAAGAAACGTAAAAAGGCAGAAACATGTATAAAAAAGATAAAACAAACATCATAAACCGGGAAAATGTATATCTTTAAAAATGAATATCCCGGAAAGAGACCCCAAACAGTGTGGAGTGTATATGTGTATATCATATGCGCGCGTGGTAAAGGGATGCGTGGCAGGGGAGCGGAAGTAGGGAGAGTAACACCAGCGACGCAAAATGGCTAGCCAAAGGTTGCGCTTTACAACAGTGTATGAGTGAGAGTGGAGAGTGACTGAGTGTAAGCGTGAGTGTGGGTGAGAGTGGGCGAGGGCGAGAGTGAGAGAGTGTCAGTGTCAGAGAGCCGCGCCCGCGAGCACCAAGTAGTAAGAAGTAGAAGGCGAGGCCTGAACCCCGAAAGAGTAGGAGGAAGCGGTAGCAGGAGGAGGGGAGGCGCCCGCGCCCGCGAGTACCAAGGAGGACTATGTAAAAGTACAAGTCGGAACCGCGAGCACCAAGGAGGACAACGTAAAAGTACAAGTCGGACATGTTGAAATGCAGCAGTCGGCCAGTGCACATTTTTTTCTCGGGTAGGCGGGAAGAAAATTTGTCGCGGAGCCGCAGACAGAGTATAGAAATGTTCGTAGGAGACTGCTAGCACGTAACCTTTTCTGGGTCGCAGAATCGCAGACAGATACGTTGCAGTAGGATACTGTCGCGTAGCCGCAAACGTTGCCCGCATCTGGATGTCCAGCTAGCAAAATGCCAAGCGTAACGACGTCCATGGCCACGCAAGAATGAAAACCGAAGTTCAAAGGTGGGATCGCAATGTAACTCTTGATGTGTATGCTACAAGACATGTGGAAACTTAGTGTTTGCTCTTATGCTGTCAAGTTCCAACTTGTCAACCAGCAAAAGACTGCAAAAGCAACGTGCAGCAAGTGGTGGAACCACGCCTGGTGCCTGCAGAGAAAAAGCATAGACGAGTAGAGGTCGCTCTACATAGAAACCATGTGAAAAGTACGTGGGTGGAACCACGCCAGGTGCGTCGGATAGAAGAATAGCTGGGTGTAACCGCGCCAGATCGCTCTAGAAACAAGAGTCTAAAGAAGAGCGCACACATGAGAACAAGCTAGAGTTTCAGAGATCTACAGAAGTGTAGAAAGCACACGTCTGAGAGGACAGTCACCAGACCACGCAGCGCGTGAGGGAGTGAGCGAGTGAATATGAGCGTGAGTGAGAATGAGAAGCCATGTGAGTGAGAGTGAGCGTGGGCGTTGTGAGTGCGAGTGAGAGCGAGAGAGTCGGAGTGAGAGTGGATGTAGTCAGCGTAAGAAGAGACAGAGGGCAGATCTGCAAGCTAGACGATCGCACATCTGAGAAAACAAACAGAAGGCTACGCAGTGGGCGTGTTGAGCTTTGCTTCAGCAAGGGAGACGCAAGAGTCGGTGTTGGCAGGTGTGTCCGAAGTCAACACCAGGCTGGATCGGCCGTTCGACGTGGTTGCAGTGACTTGTACAAAATTCCTTCGGGATCACGTTCAGAGTCCTTCTCTCACTGGCCATAGCGGCCCCAAGGCACAGCTTGTTACGGAACTTGGTGCATTGGTTTTTGTCGACGATCAGGGAGCATTGTTGGCAGACGTCCGACACTGGCAGCGTGATCTACCTCAGGGTGGCCGAACGCATCTCGTCAAGTTAGGGGTACTCTCCGTCTGAGGCCCTCGTGCCCCTTGAGCGGCTCCTGAGAGGATTCCCGTGAGCGCGAGAGCTTCCGAGCGCGAGGGAGCTCGGAAGAATTTTGAGCCGGTGATTGGAGAGAAGGTCGACCAGTGTTGTGTCGGGTGCATTTTGCATTGAGTCGGACAGACATTGGTTGACTGATCGCTGCAACAGTGGACAATAAATCTGTCGGCCAGAAGCCAAGTGTCAGGTTGAGTCAATAGTTGCATTGTTGAGACATTGTGCAAGTTGATTGCTGTGCATTGTGCATTCAGGGCTGCTGCAATAAACCTGTCGGCCGAAGAGCCACGTGGCAAGTTGAGCAAGCGGCGAACATTGTGCGTCTTGTGGTGTGTGGTACATTGTTGTGGTGTTGGTTGAACATTGGTTGATTCGTGGTACATTGTTGGAACGAGCTGCCTCCGCGACCTGTCGCGCTCTACGCGGCGGTCGCGACTTGTCCTCGCGGTTTTACCGCGACCACTGCAGAAGTCGCAGCCCTTGGCGCGTGACAGAAAACCGCGACACCTGATCGCGTGCC